TGGCTGACTCGGGCCTCCGGCGGCCTCTTCCCAGCTGCAGCAGCTTGAGAGCAATCTGCCTGATTCCTGGTGCCGACAGCAGGCTTTTCTCCTCCCAGCCCGGGCTGGTGCGTGTGCTCCCTGCAGGTGTGTCCTCGTTGCCCTCCGGCCCGAGCCACCTGTGGCCTCTAGCTGGGCAAGCCAGCATGTGGGCCGCCTTCCTTCTCCAGCCCACTTGCCCGCCCGTGTGCCCTCCCACCAGCAGCTGCAGCCCCTTCACTCTCCCACGCTGGAGCGCTCGCGTGTGGGCCGGCCGCTGCCCAGCACGGCCCCTCACACCCCAGCTCTCTGGGTGGCTCTGCATCCCTCTCAGGTATTTGTCCTTCTGACGCCACGTCTGTCTGCGTCGCACGTGCAGCTCACACGACCACGGCCGTGTCTGGGAGCAGCGCTGTGGTGCAGTAGGGCGTGGCCGCAGCACGGAAGGCCACGGTGCCCCTGAGCAGTGCCGTGGGTGTCTGCAGTGGTGGGCGTGACACTTCGTGAGAACCACTCCGAGCTGTTCAGGTGTGCGGTCACAGTTGCCACGCCCTGCACAGACCACCAGCCCCGGGCACAGGGCTGCTGGCCCAGGACGAGGACTGCCTTGGCCCTCCCGAGCTGGCGCCGCCCCTTCGGTATCCCGTCCTGCTGTTACTCTTAATGTTTTGTTCATCAGCAATTCTTTAAAAACAGTGCTTGTATAAAATAATTAGCTCAGCTTTGACTTAGTGGTAATATTTTTACAGTTACAGTAATGAAGCCTTACTATGACGGTCATTGCCATTTGCCGGTATTAGATACAGAATTTCCTCCTGGTTTCCACCTTCCTTTCTTCCACTGGCCTTTGACATTAAAATGAGCTGCTGCTTCTGTATTTTAATTGGAACTTGATAGTAAATTATTGTGTTGTGAAGAGATTTTAAAGCAGTGTTTATATCTGAGGATCAAAAAATAAATTGATTTATTAAAAGACTACTGTAGACTTTTACATAATCAGAAAACTAGTAGTTTATTAAAATGTTTTAACAACATAGATAAGTGATACATGTTTTGTGACAAAATAAGTACAAGTTACTACTTTCATAACTAGTCATTTGTATACAAAATGCTTAATTTTACAAATTTTAATGTATTTTCTCAATCATCTTATGGATGGAGATGACTCAATTTCTTATTGAAAATTGTGAAGTTCCAAAAGGAAAGAACTTTTCCAAATTCATTCTATGAAGCCTCTATCACCTCAACCCCCAAAACAGCCAAGGAAATAACAAAAAAAGGAAAACTACAGACCAATGTCCCAGATGAATA